CGGAAAAGTTGAATTAAGAAAATATCAATAGTGATATTGAGTAAAAAGGTTTCTCAAAAGAGAAGCAAGTTTAGTATAGTAAGATGTTAGTATAGAATGGAGATGTGACTTGTTAATGATTACAAGTGACATCGACATTAAGGTACAATTCATACAGATGTTCTGCACCCGAAGGGCCCGGGTAGTGGGTAAATCGTATGCAATGTATTGCGTAGGCAGTCAGATAAGTATTTTATATCAATTCTTCTCTAAAGTTGTCCAGTGTGCATAAAGTTTTAAGTAACAATGTTACTTAAGTATGTATGCGATTCAGAGTATGTGCTTTTGCACAATGAGTTTCAGTAAGATTTAACCTACGAGGACCAGCCGATAGAAGTTTTGGACCAGAAGGTTCATTGGCTGAGGAATTGAGATATTCCCTCGTTAGTATAAAATGAAATCGCCACATATAGAGTTAAATGTCACTGGGGAGTGAGAAGTTGATATTAGCACTCGTTTTTCCAGATTTCGAGTTATGATATGTATATATACGTAGTTGGTATATATCTCAGTTTCAGTATTTCCGAGGGCGGAAATAGTGTTAAGGGGGGTAGATTGTAATATCCCATTCAGTAATTAATAAAAGTAATTATTCTAAGTATGAACTAATTACTTTTATTAATGCTCGTTCCTAGTTCCGAGCCAGTTATTAAGTTATTTAGTTAAAAATTCGACTTTAAGTCGAAAGTATTCTCGGTTCAATATTATTCAGTAATTGAGCCAGTTCAGTAATTAATTAATTCCGGTCTGTTTATTTTTATAAATGGATTTATAAGACGGGATTAATTAATATAAGATGACGAATAATCGAAATTGAATATTTTGATTAATCGTTTAAGATAAGTAGTGAACTGAACCCAAGTATGTTCGGTCATGAGTTGAACTTAATTAAGAAATAGCCGAGCCTTAGTACTAAATACTTAGAATTTTTCTAAGTGTTTAAGTCATCAAGGTAAGATCATAATATCGAGCCTTAGCATAAGTGATACAAGTTAAGTCTCGAAGTGCGGTTAAGTATCCATGAACATTTAAGTGATAAATGTTTAAAGAAGTGAGAAAATTTATTTAGACATGATAGTCTATTTAAATTATTTTAAGAGAAACCAAAATTTTTAGAATTTTCAGTTTTACGGTAATCGTTCGGTTTAAGTCCGAATGTGGTTCCGTAAATGTAGAATATTTCAAGATAATTATATTAGATCCTAAGAAGCATATGTTCATTAAATTGAAGAAAAACTGTGAGTAAAGAATTTAAATTTTAGAATTTTCAGTTTTACGGTAAACGCTCGTTTTAAGTCCGAATTGAGTTCCGTAAATTGTATTATTCTCGGTTTATTAGTATGATCCAAGATCATATATGAGCATTAATTTTCAGTAAAAGAGTTTTAAAAATCAGCCATTTTGAAAGAAAATGTAAAAGTAATAAAAAATGATGATTTTTATTATTTTTATTATTTTGTTCCAAAGATTTTTATATGATGAATGGTGACATTTTTTTCAATAATATATGAAATCAATTACATCACATTAAGCACAAAATTTTGGTCATCAATTGGTGAGAATGAGATGAGAAAATCACAACAAAGTTTTGCTAAGTCTTTAAGTTAGCATTTTTTTTCAACAATTGGTGAGAATTTTATTAAACTTGGTGGAATAAGTTTTATCTACCAAAAAGCTCATTCATGGCTATAGCTAGAGGCTATTTTTGATGATTAATTATGTTTGGATAAGAATATAAGTTAATCATAAAATAGTATATGATTAATTAAGTTTATAAGTTTAAATTGTTTATTTTGTTCATTTCTTCACTCCATTATGATGTTTTGCCAATTTGTGCCTATAAATAGAGGCCTAAAAATCAAAGTTCTCACACCAAAGAAAAGTACCAAAAGTTATATAAGAGTGTAAGAGAGAATAAGTAGTAGAAAATTTGGAGAAGCGAAGAATTTGAAGTAAAAAATCAAGTTTTTACTCTAGCAAGAAGGAGATAATTTATTTATCTTAAAGTTACATGCTTATGTTCATGTTTTGATAATGAGTTTATATGTTTAGTAGATGATAGTAAGTGTTTAATAATGTTTTTAATATGACTTAGATATTAAAGTTTTATATGAATATAAGTATGCTAGAAAATAAGTTATTTCCAGCTCATATATATGTCATATGTGTTCAGTTATGATGAGATTTTTACCTAGCTATGAAAAATCTAGAAATCTATGCTTCCTATGGTTATTTCCTGTGTAAAAAAGGAGTACATAGGATCAAGAATCAAGTCATTTAGTTTAGTATAACTCAAGATATGAATTTTTAAAGTTTATCATGCAAGCTGAATTTTATGTACTTGTTTCCAGCAGCAACTTTAAACTTGAATAAGTCGAGATATATGCATGATAAAATTATGAAATTTTTATGACATGTCTAAATATGAGTTAAGAATATGACTGTTAAATTTCATGATTTGAAGATGAGAAATGAATGAGTTATGATAATTACAAGGCATATATGTAAAGATGAGTATATATGCAAGAATATTCATGATATGATCAAGTTATTAAAGTGAGATTATTATGATCAATTCTCATATAAGTGAAGAGCAATTTGGCAAAGTTTTAGTTTAATATGTTAAGTATATAATCTTATAAAGATTGTATTAAGTATGACATATTAATATCATGATTAAATATTATGATTAAAAGTTGAAGTAGGACTTGAGTTTATTTTCACTTTCAAGTTAATTAAGTAAAAATTTAATATAAGCTAATATTTAAAATTTGGGAGATATGATGTATAATGAATTAAGTATTTGATTGAGTAAAAAATCAAGATGAGTTTATAAATCATGTTGATGATGTTGGAAAAAGTTAAGCATGTTTTGAGTTTAAGTACTCAATCAAGTTTAATGTGAAATTTAGTTATTTTCACATTCGAGTTATTTAAGTGACATGCGAGTATAAACATTGATCTATGATTTTGAAGATATGATTTATATAAGGTTAAGCTTGAGTAAAAGTTTAAGAAAAAGTTAAGATGTTTGATGACTTAATATTTATTTGAGACATATTAAGCTTATTGAATATCTTTAAGATTAGGATAAGTAAGAGTTAAATCTAATTGAGTATACGAGCATAGTACTTAGTATATTGTTTATATTTTTATGTAGCTTGCAGATATAGCTACCCAAGCGCAACACTTACATTTTTCAAAAGTTATCAAAAGAAGAAAGGTGGGGACCCGGACTGGGTATTACATTGAGTATAATATTGATATCATGTTCGAGGTATGTATACAGTTTAAGTTTATACGCTTGGGATGAGGAGGCATTCATTTGTCTCAGAGTATATCCTAAGTTCTGATGGAGGCCGTTTGAGTTGCCTTGAGAAATATCCATCAGATTGTGTATCAGATATCGGCCAGATTCAGTTTAAGTTACTGGAACAGATTTTCAGTCCAGATATATACCAAAGATCGTGATATTGTATTATTATTGTTGTTTACTTTAGTATGGGTGATTTCGGGGTACAAGAGGATCAGTACTCACCCCCATTGTGTTTTTCAGGTAACAGGGTCGGGCCGGAGGTGTGAGCTCGAAATGTGGTGGTGATGATCGTGCACTTATTTCAAGTGGACATTTATTAAGTAGTTGATATGTCTGTATAATAAACCACGTTTTTAAGTGTTTCCGCTATGCACATTAAGTATTGAACTTGCATTTTTAATAAATTTCAGATTTCAAGTTTATACCATTTCGAGAAGTATGAATATGGTACAGTTAAATGCAAGTTTAAAGGAAATCTGTTTTCTTTAGGTCTAGAGAAGTATTAGACAGAAAGTTTAAAGACAAACGGATTTTCAAGAAGATGAGTTTGAGTAGCATCTTGAGTTAGTCGCAAAATATTTCGAAAGAGTTATAAGTATTTTCGAAGTAAAAGTTGCGAAAAATTTACTCTGATGAGTGGGGTGTTACATCACGCATTTTTTAGAACACAAGGTAATTACACACACATTTCGTATAACACAGGGAGTTTGGTGCAATTTTCCCCGTTTTACATATTTCATGCTTAAAAGATGGTATCTGTTTCTATTCTGAATAATCGTATAGTATGGATCTGACGGTGAGCTAGTTGTTTTGCTTTTCAGGTTGAGTAGCTGGCAGCGGACGCGAGGAGACGGTGGTGGTTATTTATTGTTATCAGTTATTTGTGCTTCTACAGACAGTTTCTGAACTCGTTCATGGATTAGTTTTTCATGTTTTGAGACCGAGTTTGACTTAGGTTGATGAAAACAAAGTGATTGAAAGATTTTTATTAATGTCTTGATTTTGAGAAGCACGTTATAAGTTTTGGGAAGTGATTTCCTTATAACCACCTAAGTGTGAAGGGTTAAAGTTTTATAGAAAAGAAAAGAGTAAGAAAGAGTTTTTAAATAAGTACTCTAAGAATGTTTTTAAAGTTAAATTAATTTTTGAAAAAAATCGAATTTATTCTAAAAAAAAAAAATCAATGTTTTCTTAATAATAAGTAGAGGGTGCTTACAAATGGCTTACCGCATAATATTTTCGCACTTTATCAATTATCTTTGCCTATTTAACGCATAATTTGTTTCACACTTTGTAGGGTGAAAAAGTTAACTTATATTTGACAAGGTGTGATAAACTTATTTAGTCTTAAAAGCGGAGTGAAATTAGCTATTTCCTTTATATGGTTTGCATGTCATCATTTAAAATTGGACAATCAAAATATTGAAAAAAATCCGCAAAATGACGCATACTATTGAATCTAAATAATTTAAAAAAAAAAATTAAAATAATTTTTAAAATATTTTCTTGATTAATAAGTTAAACATTTTAAATAAAAAATCACCGTACTATTTTTAAATTTACCAACAATCTCTCGCTCTATATATAGATAGATTATTTACTTTGTTAACAAACCGTTGTCCAATAATGTTGAAAGTTTTTCTGGCAACAATTTATCACTCATGATTTTTGTTAACATTGGACCATTCAATTCAATAAATAAATCATACAAAAATATCAAGCTACAAAAACTCATTTATGTACAGGTCGATTGACATGATGGATAAAAGTTCAAAACAAGCCTGAGACAGTCCATACTAACACAACTTGATTTCGCAGTCGTTCACAAACCTCTATCGTGGTGTACTGGTGATTGGAATCACTTGACGTTACCAAACCCTGTTTTTCCTTGTGAACAAAACTAAAATTTTGAATCTTACATATCCACAGCCAACTATCCAAATCGAAAATAATTGCTACGTTTTTGTTCATGCACATAAGAATTTGCACAAGTAATTTCCTGATAGTAGTCCAAATTACACAAACATTTTGTTGCTTATCATTAGACAACAAACAGAACACTTACCCAGTTAACGCTATTGAAACGGAGGCTTCCATAAAATAGGCTGTAACAGCTTTCAATCTGCCATTTAGGTAGTTCATTTCTACCTGAGAATTATTGATTCACCACTCAGAACATGTACGAAAAAGGTCATGGGAGAGAGCACTAGAGTTTTCTTACGTTCGACTGACTGGAAGCTATTGATGATACTTTGTTTATATGATCAACACTGAATCTACTCGCAAATTACAATTAGAAAACGAATAGCGAAACAGGACATTTACAAAATACTATTAATGGTGAAACTTGAAATTTAATCTAGTTACGAGAAAATAATATATTTTATTTCAATTTGAAAACACCATACAGTTTTGACCAATGTTTCTTTTACAAGCTCCAGGGAATAATTAAGGATATTGGTATTTCAAAACATAACGGAATCTTTCCGCAATAATGTTTGTTCTTTTGAGGGGAGGCTTCAGGGCAAATGCAAAATACATGATTTTATTGTTGTAAAATTTTGAGTGATACCTCTAATGACCATGGAGGTGTAGCAGATGAGGCTAACTCGGCCAATTGATTTATGTCGACATTTCTTGGAAGAAACATGACAATCATGGGAGCAATTGATTTTCCAGCATCAAAGAGAAACTGCCTAGTGTTTAACAAGACAAGTACTATTAGCATGAAATAACAACAAAAGCATGGACAGTTACGATTATTTTAGAGAAGAAGCAATACCCATCTCGTGGCTTAAGCATAGTGTTTATATCAAATTTCTTCACTTTTGAATAATTGGGACCTCCCCATGGCGGAGACATAAAGACAGTATTTGCCTGCAAAGGAAAGGAACAAAGAACAGAGAGAAAGAATTAACTCCACACGCAATTGAACTTGGAGAGAGAAAGGCAGTCTAGGAAATTTACTCAATTTCGATCTATAGGTAACTACAAAGACTACCCTTGGGTTTTACCTAATAGCACAAAAAAAAAAAAATCAGCTTTCCATACAAAATATCCCTGACATTTGGTTCAGAGCTAAAATGTAGGGACTAACCATGGTATATATTACGAATGTGAAGGGAGATTTCAGAAAGGTTTTCGCCTATAAAGGGATAATGCAAGACAAAATAAGATCTCATGGGTAACTTTTTGTGGTTTAAAGTTGGATTGATTTCTTGGTAACTAAGTTAAGCCTCAAGGGTGCATTTTTTATAATTAACCCAACATTATGTGTGTAAACTTAAAAGTGAACTTAGGCCACTATTATCATGGCCATGAAATTAGAAGAAAGAAACAACAAATAGCATCAGAAACATAAACTAGTGACATGAACAAAGTCATGCAATTAAACACACTAGTGAAAAGAACGAAAGAAAAAAATCATGGGAATATGTTCTTTTTATAACTCTGTACACGCTTGATTATGAATACAACAACCCACATAGTTCAACATTTGAAATTTATGGACAGGAAAGCATTACATAACAAGAAATATTTAGAATCAGTTTGTCCTACATAACTTCACTTCTTCCACAAATCCAGAACATTTTACCTTTAATTTAGGGGCCAATGAAAAAGAGTCGCCCTTAATGAAATCTATGTTGCCATCCACTCCGTATATGGCTGCATTATACCGTGCATAGTCAATTTTATTTGGGTCAATATCAATTGCGACCACATTTTTACTCCTGCAAAAGGCGAACATAGACATAACCATTGAGGGAAAAAGAGATAGAGAGAGAAATAAAAAGAGCAGCACATATCTTAAACAAAAAATCAACCGCAAGAATAGTTCATTATGTAAATTAAATAAATTAAAAGTCAAGTCCATGCTAACCGTTGAGCAAACTGAATGGCATTGCCACCAACTCCCGTGAAAAAATCAACTATTGCACCATTACCACAACGGAGTGCGTGATGTTTGGCCAACAGCTCTGGGGTCACAGAAAACCATCCTTCCTGGTCCATCTTAATCCCATAATCAAATCTCGAGAACAATGTGTACCTTTGGCACCAGTACTTGCTTATAATAGGAGGAACTTCTTCCCAGACTTCTTGAATATCTAACCGGAAATAAACCAGGTAACTTCAATTTTGGATAAAGCACCAACTACAATGAGTATTAAATATAAAGGAAAGATGACTCCAAAATTAGAGGGAGGAAGAAACCCAAAAAAAAAAAAGAAAAAAGAAAAGAACAAAACAAAATAAGAAGAGTGTACCTTCGCTCGAAACAGATAATTTCTTGCTCGGTTTTGTTCTCCTGATTTTCTTTTTCCTCTTCACTGTGCACATGCTAAAAAAATTATCAGGAGAAAGCCCTTCAACCATATTTGACAAATCACAAGAAGCTTGAGCTTCGTCATTGACTGCATCAACAAGCCCTTGAACAAGATGTTCCATTCCTAAAGGAGGGTCCCACGTTGACTCTCCAGTTCCGGCGTTATGAAAGTAGGTACTCTTGTAAAAATCATCCCAATACGCTACCCATTCTACGGATTTAGAAGATTCATTGATATTATTAGCTTGCCCCACAGTTTCATGATCTAGATCCAAAAGGGGACCTGATTCTCCGTTTAATTCCTTCAAGTCGCAATCAGCAGCTTTGTTTATTAAGCAGCTTCCTTCTGATGTTCCACCATGATCAAATTCAAGGCAAGAAACTTCACCAAAGTACTCGTGTCCATTGCTGAGGGTGCTCATTGTGCATGTGCTGGAACTAACCAAGCCCCCATTTTCAAGAGAGAGGTTAGATAACCCACATATGTCAGAAACAATTTCAGCCACTATACCATTATTTGATATTTCATTGTTGTTAAGCATATTGGAGGTATCATTTATGCTAGCCCAAAAACTATTTTTCTCCTCATCCTTTGGCTTCAGAGAATTTTCCATGTCGCCGTCGAACTCAATATGACTTTGCTGGTTTTTCTTTCTTGTGCTTTTCCTTTTCCCACAAGTGACTGTGTGTCTCAGCTGCAAAACAACATGAAATCTTTTAACTATTACACTGTAATGTATTGGTAGGATTTGTTTTATCGGTTATTGGTAGTTTGAGTTTGAAACATTTGATTCAATCTCAAAGCAATAACACTGGTATAATAACTGAGAAACTTAGATACAATTAGCACATACAAGTGTTTCTTGAAACAAAATAACAATAAATTGAATAGGCAGCCAACTATAAATCATTCAATTTAAAGAACATTCGCAAAAAGATTTGAAAGGCTGGTCATTAACAGTAAACTTCAATGATCTGTAAACTGGAACAGGCATCTTGGCTCATCACCAGACTGTCGTCGTCTGGTATCCCCAAAAATACTTCGAAGAATGGTGATCATTACATATTACCACATGCCAAAATGGATTCACAATATGAAATAGTTCAATAGAACAAACATATTAAGTATTATATCCTAAAATTAGTCGCAAGCATATGATGAGAAGTTTGTACCTCCTTATTAGTATGGAAGGAAATTGGAAGTCCCAAATCATTCAGTTCTTTGGCAATTTGTAAGTCCTCGGGTACTGAAGAGAATCCTGAGAATTCAAACGAATGTCAAATATTACAATTATCAAGCCCCAATTTCACTCAAATGGAGCAAACAAAACTTTCTCGATAGAAGTGAATCAATCCACAAGTAAAAACTAATAAACTAGTAACCACAGACATGGGAGTCAAACTCAAGACACAATATGAAACATGGCATATACGCTTATTTATCACAAATTAAGACATGAATGGCTAAGTATCCTAAATGAAGTGGCTTAAAAGGTAATAAAACAAGAGCATCTAGCAATAGAACAAAGAACTTGCCATTGAATCTCGCTAGGCTGCCATTTCCATAATCCTTTTCTCCGTCAATAAGTTTCTACATTTCAAATACAAAGAAACAAATTCATAAAAAATCCTTAAACATAAACAATGTTCTTTCTTTCATCACTCGACCCAATTACAAACATTAAAAACATAATGAGAACTCACATGAGATTCTTGCAAATAAGATGATTCTCGCGCTTCATTTGAGTCAGGGTCCCTGTTTTAAGTAAAACAATTGAAAAACCACCCAACTAACAATTTAAGCATTAGAGCCAAACACAAAATCCAAACGAGAGACGGAGAGAAAAAGAAAGGTGAGAGACTCTGCAGACCATAAGTGAACTTCTGTCAACTTAAACAGCGGGCCTAGGGCTTTAACAGCCGGTAATTCATCGATAGAGAAATCCATGTCACACCTTTGGGTTCTGAACTTTTGGCAGCCACAGGGTTCTTGGGTCGAATTTCACGTGCTCCAAATTTTAAGAGGATGACCATATCATTATTATTGCGTAGCCCGTGCGATGCACGGTTAAAAAGATGACTTTCATATCATGTAAAATTGTATTATCACACATTCTACATCTTAAGTTCATATTTTATGTTTTTTAATAAAATAAAATCCTTCATTTTAGAGATCATATGTATTTAATCTGTCCAAATTTATTTACATATGGACAATTTAAATTTTGAATTTGAAGATAACCCGAATCTATGCTTGCAAAATATCGTTTAATAAAAAAATTCACCCGCAACTTTAGGATTTGGTATTTTGAAACTTAGAAAAAAATAAAATCATTAATTTAGGGGAGATATGTGTTAAATTTATCTAAATCTTGTATACATCACGTTTTACAATTAAAACAATTTAAATATGGAGATTATTCTTATTTCAAATCTCTCATTTAAACAAAGACCATAGAAATTTTGATCGTTTCAAAATTAGACCCGTGTAGTATTTTTCATTATAAATAATTGTCAAACAAAACAATTGAATCAACCGCAACTTGATTCTTTTAATTGAAACTTCCCGATTTGATGGTTAGAAAAAATGTTTTCAAAAGAAATAAACAAATAATTTTTTTATTTTTGTTATATTTTTACCCTTAAATTAGCCCTAATTTTGTTTAAATAAAATTTGTTAATCAAAACATATGTATTAGCCGATTTTATAGAAAATAAAAAGTTTTCGATATTTTGAAAATACAACAGCATATTTTTATGGTTAGAAAAAATAACACATAATTTTTTTTATTGTTAAATCAGTCGTAATTTTTTAATTAAAAAAAAACCGCCAAGCAAAAAAATTGTATTAGTCGAATATCTGGTTTTAAATTTGGAGAATATAATTGGCCGATATTTAATTGAATTAGCAATCGTGACGTACATTTTTATTCAAATTTAAAAATAGCTTATTGTAATCAATAACCAAATTTAATTGATGCGACACGTGCATTATCAGCTTTTGATATGCACATCGTGTCAAACCATCGCAAATATTCAATAGACCAAATTTAAATAGCAGCCCACTTTTTTGAAAATAAAAAAGTAATAAACTCCTCATTTTCAGGACAATATTTAATATTGTCCATTTTTTAGTAAAAAATATATTTAAAAAATACTATAAATGGCATGTAATTAATGTTGATGAGTTTTGACCAAGGATTGACTTACTATTTTTTATAAATGTTAATTCTTATTATATATATATATATATATATATATATATAGATATAGTAAATAGCAAACGTTACGAGCTTATGTGATGTCATGGAGGTCAAACTTGTAGTCAATAGTTCAATGGTACACAAGCAGAAAAACAGGGTTTAGGGGTTAATGTGACATACTTACAGCAGCCACAGCTGTTAAGTAGCAGTCCTTGGATTCTTAAATTATTAAAAATAGATCAAGGGTTATAAATAAATGACAAATAACTTGTCACAACTTTTATTTTCTGTAATGTCCCGTTTAATTATTGAATATTTAAGAATTATTTATTATTTATTATTATTATTATTATTTGTCTTTATTGTTGTTTTTATTATTATTAATCGATTGTTAAATATTATTAAATGTCTATATGATTTATCTGTTAAATTGCGATGAATGTCTAATTGTCTAAATATGAATTAATTGTCAATTTGTAATTAAATACCTAAAAACCTAAATGTTATCATTATTTAAATAAAATATGTATTTGTATTTTATTAATATTATTATTTTTTTAAAATTAAATCGTCTGTATTATAAATATATATATATTATCCCATTTAATTTATCTAGCTCGAGAAAAACCGAATTAATGTTACGTCTAGTCGAGCACGAGAGCCGAATCGTTTCATTGAGCCAGCCTCGAACCGGCCGACCCGCGAGACCGACCCGGCCCAGACCCGTTTTCCCAGCCCTTGTGCACGTGTGTTAAGTGTGTCTTGTGGATCAAGACAATAACCCTAAGCAATTTATTATCTCGCTCATTCGTTTTCTTTCTGAAGAACAGACCGCAACCTTTCATCTTCCCTTCTCCCCGTTCGCGTTTGAACTCAAGAACATAAAAGAGACTATCGATCCCAAGCTCTCAAAATCTGATTCGAACCCCCTCGCCAATATATCTCTCTCGCTTATTCCTCACCCCGTCATCGGCATCACCAAATCGTCATCATCTTTTTCTCTGTATTTTCCCATTCGCCGCGGCCAGCCAACCTCCGGCGAGCTTTTCTGAGCACGAACCAGGCATCTCCGATCACCCTCCTCGCCATCATCTTCACCATCTGATCGACATCCTCAACCCATCTCAGTCACGCCAACCTCTCGCCGGAAACATCATCCCGACCCCGCGTACAATTCATTGACGACGATCTCACCGCGCCGTGAAGTCTGCTCCGCCGCGACGTAAGCAGCATGCCCTTCCACCGCTGCATCTTCCACTCTGTTGGCGATCTCCAAGCCGTGGACTAGCAGCGACCTTCCTCTCGTCAGAACCAGTCGCGACCTCTCACGCTCAGCCCAACTCCGACGACCACTTTCGGCAAGTTTAGCGACCCCGTCGTCACGAGTAGCCACCCCACGATCACTCAACTTCGCCGGCGAGTTCTTCCTCACGCACAGACGACCGCCGCTGCTCCTCCACGAGCTGCCGCTTGTTTTCGATCGAACTCGACCCGTCTCGTTTAAATCTATGTATTATTTATGTGTGCGATTATGTGAGGTATTGAACGTGTTTGTTTGACGTGTTATTCGAACCATTCGTGTTAATATATGTTTATGAAATATTTTGTTTGTCTCGGTTCATTATTATATTTGCCGCGAATGTACGTGAATCTCTTCGATTCTGTGACATCGAATGAGACCTCATCGATTCGAGAAATAGTCGCTGTGGATTGAAATGCTGTATTGTCCTTAGTCTTATGGCGAAGACTTCGGACGAAATTGTCGTAAAACGAGCCTTAGAGAGATTGCCGAACTTGAAAAACTGTTGTTTTAATGTTGGAATTATTAAAAATTATGTACTGCTCCGTTTGCCTTGAAATTTTGAGAGTCATGTCTTCTGTTAAACATCTGACTTGTATGAAAATTTCGTAATTTTTCAAGGTCTGTAGCTTTTTTAAAAAATAAGAATGATTTGTAATCAGTTTCATGTTAATTTCATAATAAATTGTGTAGTGCTCTAAATTGGCTGAATTTTGACTATGTTATGCCTTTGTTTTGATTGTATGCTGTGTAAAATGTTTAGAATTTTTGGATTAAGTTTGATAGGGTAAATAATTTATTTTATGATTCTGCAGAAAGTTGTTTTATTTATCATAAATCGGTTAGTTGTTGAAAAATTTTGAAACTTGGCTGGAGTACTGTTTCTATGTGTATTTTTATGCTGTTAAAAGATGAGAATTTTTGGAGTTCAATTTGATTCAATTTTAATTGAAATTTGATAACTGCTGAAACTTGTAGCAATTTTTAAAATTCATACAGTTGATTTCCAGGGCTGAAATTTTTATATAATGCCATTCTCATGCTGTAGTCTGTGATATAAAAATTTCATAGCTTAACTCATTCATTTAATCTGGTTGCTAATCTATGCTCGTTTTTGCCATAAACTTGCTCGAATTTTGTAAAATAGAACACTTTGAATTTGGGGCTGAAAATTGGTGGTTTTGCTAAATTCTGGGAGGTGAAATTTTGGTTAAAATTTCAGAGTTAAATTCGTATGATAACCTGACCAACCTATTTTTGTGATTAAAATCTAGTATTTTTAAATATATGGCTTTTGCAATAAAAACTGTGAATCGACTCGCTTTCCGTTTCTTTCAGTGTTTGACTTGGTCAATGTTTGTGTTGGATTATGTGAACTTCCGTGTGTATTGGGTTGAGTCTTAGTGTCGAGTCTAAGTGTTCCAACGTCCACAGGACTTCACGAACAACTTAGTCGAATCAATTTCGGCTAAGAATAATTGTGATTTCCGTTTAAGTCAGAATAGATGTTGATTATAGCATCTGGACTTAATTTAGGTGTTTGAGGAGTCGGGCCCTCGACCTACCGACCTGTTTGTGTGACTTCTCTACCGATTTACCAGGTGGGTTTTATTAAAGTTGTTTATGCAATAAATTGTTGACCTTACTTGTATATGATCAATGTATGCTTACAAATCATGTAGCCTTCGATGTGAGCTGTACTGGCCGTTGAACGGTTGTCCCCGTATTTATGAAATGAAAACCCGAGGGGTTACTACTACTGACTGGGCACCGATAGAAGCCCGAGGGGCATTCGGTGTATAAGCCCGAGGGCATAAACGTAGTGTCATAAGGCCTAAGTAGGCATATGATCCGTAAGGCCTAAGCAGGCATACGATCTGTAAGGCCTAAGCAGGCATACGATATGTAAGACCTAAGCAGGCATACGATACGTGGACCAACAGTAGTCTATTGGTATAGATGTGCACATGAGTCTGAACACTATGAATTTATAATGAAACCTGGGATACTAAACTGATTCTTGTATATGCTGTGATCATGCTATCTCTGTTACTGTTTTGTTATGTAAATATTTATTGCATAGGGGTGAGCACTACTTTTTCCAACTGTGCTCATCCCCACCTGAAATTAATGTTTCAGGTTAAGCGAGGCAGGTATGACGGCGGAGTGGAGTGAGAGGTGGTCGGTCCATAAGACCGGTTAATTATTGTTATGCTTCCGCTATTTGTACCACTTATGAATTTTATGAACTTTGGATACTGTGGAATTTATGATCATGGATTTAAGGAATTTTGGGTATTATTGATGATTGGAAAAATATTAAGGAGAATGCTCCTTAAGTACCATGATGATGGTTGGAACCCTGTTTGGGTAATTGATAGAATTAGGGGATCCCTGTTTGGGAGTTTGATGATTGGTCAATGTTGAAATGATTTTGAAATAATGAGTAACGCTTAAATGTTTTGAAATAAGTTCGAAAAATTTATTCTGAATTTCGGCAAATAAAAGTGGGGCGTTACAGTTTGGTATCAGATCCAGTCTGCGTTTCTGTAGACT